GACCGGGTGGCAGCCGGCCGGGGTCCGCCCCTGCCCCACCCCGTCCTGGGGAGCAGCAGGAGGGACCGGCCGGCTGCCTCCGGGGCTGGGGAGGGACGCAGGTTGGTCCGGTGATGACCAGTGAGGGGCGGGCCGGGCTCCGGGCCCCCCGAGCGAGGGAGCGAGCGCTGAGCCGCCCCCCGGGAGGGGGGGCTTCTGCCCAGCCCCACACACTCTCGTGGGAACCTGGTCTCCACTCCCACCGCAGCCACGCGTGACGGTGGAGGTGAGCACACAGCTGAGAGGCCGATCTTCTTTCCGGATGTATTTTCATGGTTTGATACGGATTTAAATGGACTTAACTACCTCCCCAGACAGCTCTTCCTAAATGTTTTAATTTTAAGACCTTCCTGGCTCAACACAGCATGTGGTGCGTAACCAGGTTGTAAGTTCTCTCCGCCCTCTCGGCCCCGGTCTGGAGGGGACGGGACTATACAATGGTCACACCCCTGCGGGGTGACGAGGTGCAGCCGCCCGGCCAGGCCGGCCCCCTCCCCGCTCCCACTGGTGGGGGACCGGCCCTCCCTGGGTCCCCGGACGTGCCCCCTCCGTGACCTGTCCCCACCCTTCTGCCCCACGGGCCAGGTGCCGGTCACACCTGGGGCAGCCCCGGCCCAAGCTCCCCTCTCTGGGCTAAGGATGTCACTCACACCCTCTCTGGGGCAGCCACGTCTCACTGGCCCGGCTTCCCATCAGCCCCCACGAGACAGGAGGGGCCGCCCAGGGCCCCCTGCTGGCCACCCCGCTGAAGGCTCCCTGGGCCCAGCCTCGCTGAGCGCGGTCCAGGCCTGGAGAGAAGCGGGGGCCGGGGGTGTGGCAGCTCCGCGCCCCGGAGCCCCAGCAGGCATGAGGATGGGACCCCCAGGGCCTCGTGCGCCCCGGGGTGGGGGGGTCCACCCTGGCTCTCCCCTCCTGGTGTGACTGCTTCGCTGAGCAGCCACCTCCCTGCAGCGCCCCCGTCCGACTGTGACGGGGGCAACCCCTATGGCGGCCTGGGGCTCCCTCTGTGGGTCTCAGGGGTGGGCAGCCTGACACGGTGGGGGGACGTCTGCCAGGCGTCCGCGTGGGGAAACCGAGCCCCCCTTGCCGCCACAGGAGCCCCCCCCCCGGGTCCACGGGGCCCACCTCCCCACCCCACCTCCTCTCCTGGAGTTGCCCCCAGACAGGCGGGCTGTGTCTCTCTACTCCCGCCCCCGACAACCTGGGCTGCGGCCTCGGGGGGACTCGGCGTGGGCCCCGTCCAGGCGCCACACGTGACCCTGTCTCTCTGCCCCCACAGCGCAGACCGGGGGTGTTGGCAGGGACTCGGCCGCAGAGACCCCTCCGGGCAGAGGACGCTCCCCGTCGGTGACCCGGGCTTTGCCGTCCTGGCCTCTGGGCCACCGGGGTCGGGGGGCCTTGGAAGAGCAGGTCTCGTGAGTCAGCCGGGGGAGAGCCCCCCGCCGGCCGCCACGCAGAGCCCCCCACCAGCAGGCAGAGCGGGCCGCGCCCTGCTTCCCGGCACTGGCGGCGTGGACGCGGCGGCCGAGTAGCCGGGCCTTTGTGGGCCGTTCCGGTGCCGAAGCATGGCGCGAGTTGCAAAGTGATGATGCCCAAGGCAGAAACATTTATTATGTGCAGGGCCGGAATAAATATTGCTTTTACATCCCGACAAAACCTAAAATTCTAGGATGTTTTGTGGGCCCCTTTTATGTCTCCCTGTTACGGCTGTCGTCCGGCGATTTGGCCAGAATTTACTGGCAGTCACCGTGAGCCACAGTGACGCACGCGGTCCCCGCCGCTGGACAGAGTCGGCACGCGCCGGCCCCGCTGGCCCAGAGGGCGCCGCTCGGACCACAGCCGCCGACTCGCGGGGGCCACTTCCCGGGAAGCACCGACTTCCGCGAGGGGCCCCGATGAGATGGGGTTCCTCTGCTCACGGCCCGGAGGCCGGGGCGCCCCACAAAGTGGGCGAGTCTGCCAGCGCGTGTGGGGGCGGAGAGCACCCCAACTCGCTCGGCCTGAGCCAGGGAGGTTGGGGCGGGGGCGGGGTGCTGCCCCGGCACCGCTGACGCGAGGGGTCGGAGGTGGTGAAAGTGACTCCGTCCTCCCCACGCTCTGCCGGAAGGCGCCGTGCCGTGCGCAGCACCTGGGACGCCACCTCTCGCGGGCTCACCGGGGGAACTAGGGGAGCACCACGGAGACACCCGTCTTGGACAGATGCGACGAGCCACGCACCACACACCCTCAAGCCAGCGCCGCGCCCTTGCGGGGTGGGGGCCAGAGAGCGGTCTGCCCCCCTCCTGAGAGCAGCCACGCTGCCTCACGCCCCCCATGTCTGTCTGCTGGAGCTCCGGGACACCTCCCAGAGGACGGTCTTCGCTGGGCCCAGATGGGGTCCCCGGGGGCCGGCTCCCGGAGAGGGGCTCACAGAACAGACATCCGGCGAGGGGCACGAGGAGACGCGGGCACGGGGGCCCCCCACCTGCCCACCAGCAGCCCCCGGGGTGGGGGGAGGCTGTCTGAGCAGGGGTGGTGACCGGAGGTGCAGAGAGGGGACTGTTTGCAGCCGTACGGGTGCCCGCCCCAGGCGCTGCCCTGGGCCGTCTGCACACACGCGTGTGCACACACCACACACACGCGTGTGCACACACCACACACACACACACACACACACACACCGTGCTGGCTCCGCACGGTTTCGCTCAGTCCTGGGGCCGTGCTGTCGGGCACGGCCACCCAGAGGGGACGTCCTTCTCCGTGGCCGTCCCACACGGCCCTCCCGCGACGGAAGTGTCCGGAACGCCCACTCACGGCAGCTGGCCCAGGCGGCCTCACTCTGCCCCCCAGAGAGCCCCAGCTACAGGGCCGGGGACGGGACCGGGAGAGAGAGGGCCCTGGGGGCCGGGCCGCCCCCAGGGAGCCCCTCCCTGAGGGGACCGCGTGGGTGGGGGGAGGTGGCGGGACAGCGCAAGCAGACAAACTCGGGCCGGAGCCGAGAGGCGGGGGCGTCCTCCAGGAGACCTGGCGCCGACCGGCCTGCGCCAGCACGGGGGCCGTTTCACGCACGCCTTGGGGGGGGGAGGCCGGTGCCCACGTGGGGGTTCGGGCGGGGGGAGCTGCTCTCCAGAGCACGGCCCCGGGTCCGAGGAGGCCCCGGGGGCAGCAGGCCAGCCTCGGGCTGACCCGCAGCTCAGTGGCGGGACGGGCTCGGTGTCACAAGTGGGCACGCACCTGGGCATGCACCTGGGCATGCACCTGGCCACGCCCCGCACACAAGCTGCACCTGCGTGGGGAGAACTCGCTGACTCGTGGCTCCAGAGCCGTGCAGACCAGGGTGGGGGTGGGGGCGACTATGGTGTCTCCCTGGGTGTGTTTCCGGTCTATGCCCGGCAGGTGGGAGGACAGTCCTGGGTGGGCACTCAGGTCACAGCCACCGGGGGCCCGTCGTGAGCGTGTCAGGAGGCCAGCTGGCCCTTCCGGTGGGTGACAGTGGGGGTGAGGAGGGACCGGCTTCTTGCCGAACGCCAGGGGCCCCCCGAGGCTCCTCACTGCAGCCCCCCGACACCCCCGCCCCTGGGGGACACTTCCCTGAGCCCTGAGTGTGACGGCCGCCCCTGACGTCCACTACCATGACGTCCTCCCGGCGGGCCCTCGCTGGCCGGCCTCCCAGTCTCACCCATCACAGCCGGCACCTCCTCCCACCCAGGGTCCCAGCTCCCTCACCGGGTGGCTCCCGTCCCCGACCCAACCCTGCTGATCGGAGCTGGGTCTGCTTCCCTAGACGCCGCCCCCGCCGCAGGGACACGCCAGGTGCCACCCGGTGGGCCGCGGCCGCACGGAGCCAGGGCCCCCGAGCCCAGGAAGTGACCCGCCGACAGCACTGACACTGAGACCAGGCGCGCCTCCACAGAGAGACAACCCCCCCGGCCCAGCTCCGTCCTGGCACATGGGGCAAACGGGGTCCCATGGGGGGGACCGCACTGAGGCGTCACCGTGCAGGAGGGACAGACAGTGCGTCTACATCATTCGGACACCCCGTCAACCTGGGAATGAGCCAATGGGTGCTCAGAGACTAAGGGGTCAGCCAATCACCTGGGACGTTATTCCACCCAGCACCCGCGAGCCGGAAAGTAAGATTTTCCTGTGATTAGGACTTACCTGTCCCGTAGGCACAATCGTGTGTTTTGTGACTTTTTCAAAATGGAGTGTCTTTAGTTATAACGCAATTTTGCCACTTACGGTTGTGTTGGAAGTGTCAGCCACAGAAGCGCGTTGGTTTAAAATATTTATTACTTAAAAAAATTTAAAATTTTTTTATACAAAGATGATGAGAAAAGTCTCATGCACACTCTGGGCATACAATAAAAATAACTCAAATACCATTTGATGGTTTTGTACAAAATAAATCTTTCTCGGGGGGACCTCGGGCAGACAGACAGCGCGGCCCCTGCTCCGGGCCCGACGCCCGGTGGGGGAGAGCAGGCGACCGCACCTGGGCGGGGTCCGCGGGCCGGGGGTCCTGACGCTCACAGATGTCGCTATGACGATGGCAACGGGCTCTATTGCTACTACTCAGAACCGGACCGAGACGCACGGACACTGGAGTGGGACGCGGGGGCTCCTGAGGACCCAAGGGCACACACGCTCGCTCGCTCGCTGCCCTCGGGGAAGCTCCAGCCCCCCGGCCCCCCAGCCCCCCAGCCCACGCCCGAGAACGCCCCACGGTGGCGTGGCCGGCGCCCCTCCTGCCGAGTCACAGGTCTGCGGCGGGCCGTGATCCGCGTGTAGTACGAGTCATTTGCATAATTAAAACAACGAAGGGGTGGACGGGTCCTGGTGATCAGACACGCGTGGGAGTCTGCACGTCGCACAAAGGAGCTTCAGTGTGAAAGGGCGGCCCGCTGAGGGCTGCGCGCCGGGCCGGCTCCCGCTCCCGCCGGCTCCCGCTCCCACTCGGTCTCACCGCGCCGCCCACGCCCTCATCTCATCTTGCGCAGCCGGAGCCTGTTCTCCTTGTCCCGCCTCTTCAGCGTCAGCACGAACTGGTTGAAGAAGTGCTCCTGGTCCTTCCTCTTCGGCACCAGCCGGAACCTCTGGTCCCGGCCGTGCTTCTCGGCAAACTCCTTGAACGTGGTCCTGGAACACAGGGCGCCCCTGAGTCTCCCGAGAGAGAGCCGGGGGTGGGGAGGAGGGAGGAGGGGGCTGCTGGGGTGGGGAGGGCAGGGCGCTGGGCTGGAGGGGCGGCTCCGGGCCTCCAACCCCAGCCACCCCCCAGCCCTAGGCCGGGCCGCTCCCCCTGCCCCCGGCAGGGCCCTGACCCCTGTGACTGAGGGACCTCCCCCCTCGGCCTGTCTAATCGGACCCTACAAGTTGGCCCGGCCCCCGGCCTCCTCGGCCCCCTCTCGCTCTGAGCCCGCCACTGCCACTCAGGCTGCAGGGGCCCCTTCGGCCCCTCGCTCTTACCCACCTGCCTCCCCGCCTCGGGTCTTCGCACGCCCCTCCCTCTGCCCGGGAGAGCTGTGTGTTGGCTCCGGGCCCACATTCTACCGGTGCGGGGAGAACACTAGTACCAGTTAGTGGGTGGAGAACACCCACCAAAAGTCCAGAACAGTGACAGCGGGGGACAGTGATGAGGAGGGCAGGCACTGCCTCCCCAGGCTCCTCCTGCGCCCAGGCAGCCCCCGCCCCAGCCTGCGAGTCACCCCAGGGGACGCCGCCAAGGGCCCCCGTTCAGAAAATGACACCAAACCTCATGGAAGCCCAAGGCCTCAGCCCTCGGCCAGGGCCAGGCCGTGCCCTGAGGCTGCGGCTCCGGAACTGGCTCCCCGGCCCCACGGTCCTTTGCCCCCCGCCCCCCCCCCCGGTCACCGGGTGAGGGCACCCGGGGAAGCCACAGGGAGACCCCACCCAGCCTCCCATCTCGGGGGCTTCCCCGCAGAGAACCGGGGCTCACGGATCATTGAAAACACGTGCTGTTTGCCATAAGGGACATTCATGCTCATTCCCGCACTCGGAGAGTGTCTGTCCTTCGAATTCTCGAAGGTTTTATGAGGGCTGCGTGACCACGGCCAACCCACACTCCCCAGCTACCGACCGGGCGAATTAACCAATTATCAACGAAATGTGGAAACCTGCATTCACAGAGAGCAAGCATGACTAAGGTCCACTTAAAAACTAATGTTGCATTTATGCATTTTTATATTTAATAAAAGTGCATAAATGTCCATTTAAAGATAATACCCCAATCTAAAAAATGCATCAAAAGCAATCATTTCATATTATTATGGTTTTAAAATTCTAGAAGTAGTGCATGTTCATTATTTTAAATATCAGTCAATTAAAGCTAATTTTAAAGAACAGTTCAGCTTAGGTGCTTTATCCTGGTTACTAATGGCTACTGTCCTACTAATGTGTTGTATTTCACGCCCGGTAATTTGGGATGGGTGTCGGCAACCGGACCGCGGGGGTCCGTCAGCTGCGTGTGGGGTCTTCAGTTCACGCTCAGGCGTCAGGAGCCAGGGAGCTGGGGTCACGCTGCCGTCCTCCATTTTGTATCTTTGCCCCTTAGGTCGGAGGTCAGACCGCCTGCCAGGAGGGCCGCCTACCGGTCAGCTAGCCCAGGGCCGGACGAACCAACAGGCGGTCTGTGCCTTGGGCTCGCCGGCAGGTCCCCGTGCCCGGTGGACGGGGACGGGGTCACTGGCTGACCACACGGGGGAGGCAGGCCTCTCCCCGGGGTCCCTGAGATCACACCCCTGTTGTCTGTGCACAGCTGGGTCCCGTGGTCTAACCGAACACACTGGACAAGGCCCCCCTTACAACAGCCGGGAGTCCCCAGCCCCGGGCACTGCCGGGCGCATTTCTCTCTACCTGGGGGACACTTTCGATTCTTCCAGAAGCTTCTTGAACTCTTCTTTGGCTAGCAGCAATTTACTCTTCTTTTCCTTGTACTCTTCCTTTATCCTCGTCTTGACAAACTGCTCGAATATCTGGAAGCACACAAGAGACCCGCGTGGGGAGGCTGCGGATCAGGACCGAAGCCTCGGTTTTCGAACCTGCGACTCGGCGAGACCCGGGGTGGCCTCTCTCTCATCAGGGGCTGGAGCTGCAAGCCGCCGCCGCCTCCCGAGGTGTCGCTGCCCGGACTCGGCTGGATGCCCCCACCAGGCCAGTCTGCGCCGCGCCGCCCCCCACCCCCACCCCCGACCGCAGGCACCGTCCCAGGACCCCACGGAGCCGGTTTGGGCGTGACCGCCGCCGCCGCCGCCGTGAAGACCGGGCAGCGTGGCGACCGCCGCCGGGGTTCTGCTCCGGAGCCCGAGGGCAGGCCTGCGGTCAGGGCCTGCCCACCCTCCCGTCGGAGAGCCAGCGGCACCAGTCACACGGGGAGGACGGCCTTTGTCCCGGTCAACTCTCACCTCAAAGTCATTGTCATCCCAGTCCACCCAGCGTCCAGCTCTGCCCACGCTGGCCTCCTCCACAAAGACCCACGTGCAAACGTGGGCTCCTGGGGGGCTCAGAGCCTGGCCCTTGGTCACTGCACGCCCCCGTCTGCCAAGTGTGTGCATGGACAGCCCTGCTCCTGCCCAGGAAGGACACGCACACCTGGGCAGGCCCAACCCGCGGCCCCCAGCGCACCGCGACACGGCGTGTCTCTGGCGTGGCGGCTTCGGGAGACCTCCCCGCCTCGTTAGGCCGGGAGGGCCCGCTGTTCTAGTGCCGGGAACGGGGCCCCGGAGACCCTGGAGCCATCGCGGGCGGGGGGGGGGCGGGGAGAGCTGCCCGGCCCCACGCCCGGCGAGCCTGGAGGGCGTGACGAGGGGCGTGACGGGAGACCACCTGAAGGTGCGCAGACGAGAACAGAGGAGTGAAGACCCCGCGTGCGGCCCCGCGGGGCCACGAAGGGGCTGCCTGGTGCCGACCCCGCGGGCGGCTGTGGCGGACGCTGGACTCGGACGAGGGCGCTGGGGGTCTGCCGTGGGGGCTCCCGGCTCTGTCCCTGGGTCCGGAGTGCGTCGGCCGGGGCGCAGCCCCCGGAGGTCGGAAACAAGCCTGCCGGGCGCCTCCCGAGGGCCCAGCAGCGTGGCCGGGCGTGCGCGAGCAGCCCACGCGTGTGTTTAGGTGGGAGCACGATGGGGTGACGGGCGGCTGGCACCTTCAACACGCGTGGTGACGTGGGCCCCCGGCCGCCTCGTGGTGTCACGCGTCTGAAGTGCGAGCGCAGGGCCGCCCTCCCACCTGGCGGGTGTGGCTCCGCTGCCGGTCGGAGTTCCGCTCCATCAATTCCAAACGCGGAGGGAGGCCCCGCCGGCTGGGGCCAGAGCGGAACGGACCGACCTGCTGCCCCCGCGCCCGGACCGCCGCGCCGCCTAATGGGGTTCCGCTGCCCCCTCCCGCTCGGCCCCGCCGTGTCACTGAGGCGGCTGTGACTTCACGTCACAGGTTCGTCCCTCCTCGGCCAGTCTATGCCGGTTTTACTCAAAGTGGAGCGTGACCGTTCAAAAGACGCACTGTGGGCTCTGGTCTCCTGGTGGCCTGCTCTAGTGCGCCGTGTCACCATGGAGACCGGTCTTGCTGCACGCCCTTGACCCCGAGCTCCGTCTGGGCTCATGCGCCTCCCCCCCGCCCCCCAGGAGCCCTCGCCTTCCGGGGCAGCGCGCCGCTGGCAGGAGGCCCTCACAGACGCCGCCTGGGGTGCTTTCACACACGGATCAGCTGCGTTCTTTGAACGGGGGCCAGCGGTTGCTTCCCGCATCAGTCCAGCCTCAGGCCCCACCCTGCCGCTCCCCTCGCTCCCCTCGGGTGGGGCGGCTCCTCCCGCACGCCGGCGTCTGCGGACGGGACTCTCAGGCCTCAGCCGCCCGCTCCCGCCCTTCCTCCTCGGGCCTCGGGGCGAGCTCCCGTCTGCAGACGGCCCGGGGTCCCCCTGGGTGGTTCTCGGGGGCGTCAGACGTCTGTCTCCAAGCAGTGGATTCCGGTGAGAGTTGGCATTCCTGTCTGCCCAGTCCACCCTGTCCGCCCTGTCCGCAGAGCACACACCCAGGGGCAGGCGGGACGTCCCCGCCCCCCAGGAGGCCCCGCCCCGTCCCCCCGTAGCGCTGGCCCCGCCTGGGCACGGCTGGGGAGGCCCAGCCGCTCCGGGCTCCCGTAGTTAGACCGGGATGGCCTTGCCCCCAGGCCTCGGGACGGGGGGGCCCCGCCCCACGCAGGAGCCAGCTGCATTCAGCCAACACACGGAGTCGCAGGCGACACCAGCGTCTGAGAGACGTGACTTCGAGTAACCCCCCGGGGCCTTCTTCGAAGGCTGCGGGGTCTCCCTCCTCAGCTCCCTTTAGCAGGGCTGCGAGCGGCCGAAAACACCGCAGACTGGAGAGAGCTGCGCTGACCAGGACCAACCGGTCGGCGCTCGCAACCCCCACCCCCGGGCTGATGGCCGTTCGGCCCCAGCCAGTCGGCGCGCGGGGACGACGGCACCCAGGGCTCCGTCACCGAAACAGACGGGCTGCCTCTTGCGTGGCCTCATGGCTGAACGGTCGAACTCTCTGAGGTTTAACAGTTCCACAAAAGGGTGGACGACCACCAGCGGTCACGGTCTCCCACTCTCCCACTGTGGAATAGCCCACGAGACCCTGAGCTCACACCGAGCCCGGCCTGGGGGGCTGCTTGGATGCCACGTGCGTGTCGGCCCACAGGGTCCCCACGACCGATGACCAGACTGAAGCAACACCGTGCTCTCCGCCCCCTGCTGTCTGGGGGTCTGAGGGTCCGAAGGTCACCGCACGGCCGTGGCCACGGCGCCCTCCCCAAAGTGGCCTCCTGGCTCCTCGGTTTCCAGGGGTGTCTCCCGGCGAACCACCCTCTTTCTGAGCCCGGAGGGAGAGGAGGAGGAGACACAGCGACCCGGACCCTTCCGGAATGGGTCTCGGGACCCTTCTGGAATGTGCTCCACGGGCCACCAGACCCCGGCTGGGCTGTGCGGCCTCCTCCTTGTGCTGTAGGTCCCGTGGGCACAGGGTCCCTCTGGCCGCCTGCCCCTCTGGGAACCGCTTCTGGCCCGAGACCCGGTCTGTGAGCGAGCCACAGCGGCCCCGCCAGGCCGGACTTTAAAACTGGGCCTGCGACCCCATCCTGGCTTTTCCGGGGACGCCCTTTCCTTCACCTCGGCGGCCGCGGTCCCCCGGGTCCCCTCCTGGTCGGCGCCAGTGCGGCCGAGCTCGGGTCTCTCCAGCACAGTCGGCCGGGACGCGTTCCCCACGCCGTGACCCGGACGACCTTCCCGTGCGCCGCGCAGACCACGGACCCCGGGCCGTAGCGCCCGTCTGCGCCTGCCCACGGACCACACCCCCCGTCCGCCCGCCGCGCTCCCAGGACGCGTCCCTCCCGCTGCGTCCCCGCCAGGCCGCCCCCCCTTACCTGTTTCCGCTCCTCCGAGTTCAGCAGGAGGTAGCGGGGGTCGAACACGATCTTGTGCAGCTCCTTCTCCCAGGTGGAAAAGGCGGACACCTGCGGGGCACATCCCACGGGGCCGCCGTTAACGCCTGTGCTGAGCCCGCACCCTCGGGAACGGTCACTGGGAGGGAGGGAGGGGCCGCACGGCTGGACAGTGTCGCGCACGTCCGGCTTCCGAGAGGTCGTGCAGGGAGCCCGAGGAATCTGCCGCCTGCGCTCGCCACACCGGAGACCAGCCCCCCGGCCCCCCACACACACTTCCCGCCGCTCCCACGCCTCCCTGCGAAAGCAGCCCCGTTGGGAACCGCCCCCTCAACGTGTTTGTCGGAACAAGCAGCGCAGCGGCGACCTCACTGGTGTGGCACTCAGCTGAGGCCACCTCCTGCCTGCGGGGACACCCAGCTGTGGTCTCCCAGCTGCCCCTCCTCCCACGCCGCCTCCCCAGCCACAGCCCCCACCCTCCAGGCAGCTCCCTCTCCGGCCCTCGCACTGCGCCGCCATGCAGCCCGGGCCCCCGGGGCCTGGCCCCGTGCCCTCCCCACCTCGCCGTGGCTGCCACCCAGCCAGCCAAGACGCCTCCAGCCAGCAGGACCCCCTGCCCTGAGCACCCACCCCAGCCAGCAGGAGTCCCACAGATGGCACCCCATGCCCAGGGTGTCCCCCACTCCTCCTTCGATGCACCAGCAAGGGCGGCCCTTCCACAGGGGGCGGGGGGGGCGGCCAGGGTCCCAAGCACAACCAGAGCCAGTCGGAGCCTGAGACGAGGGCCAGGCCCAGCTCCCGGGGGGCCCGTTTCTGGGGGAAACAGATCCCGAGGAAGTAAAGGGGCTGAGCGAGCCCGGTGGGGGCTGCGAGGTGAGACCACGGACGTCCCGTGAGCACCAGCTGCCCACGGCGACGGTCTCCTCTGTCCACTTCCGTCCTCCAGACCGAAGGCCGTCTGGGGCATGTGTGGGCGCTCGGACCCCAGGAAAGGCCGGGGCCGTCCAGGCCAGCGCAAGTGGGTCAGGGGGTCAGGGGGCCAGGGATGGCCCCTGCCGGGCCCTGACCCAGAGGGTCCACGGTCAGCCTCCCCGGGCGGGCACCCGGTTAAAGCTGGGGGCACGGGGCTCCCCTCTGACGCCGCTGGGGCAGCTGGGGACCCCGTCCCGGTCCAGGGCCCCTCTGTGGGGCTGCCTCTCGCACCAGCCTCCTCGCGGCCGCCTGCCTGACGGGACCAGGGGCCCGGCCAGCGCAGCTGCTGGCACAGCAGGGAACATGGAACCCGGGTCCCGGGCGCCGGAGGGGCCTGACTCACAGCCCAGACACAGGTCCGGGTGCTTCAGAAGCTGACGCTTCCCACCAAAGTTGACCCCCAGACCCGCTGCGCTGACGGGGAGCCCACGGGCCAGGGGCTCCGCCTCCCTCCCTCCCTCGGGCGAGTCCCCAGCTCCACCGCCAGGACTCAGGCTGGACCCCCACCGGCAGGGGCCCTGGTCTCTGAGCCGCCCAGTCTGCCTGCCAACTCCGCCATCCCCCGCCCCACCCTGGCCCCGGGACCACGCACCTCCCCCCACGGCTCGGCCCACCCCCCCAGGCCGCCCTCGGACTCCCCCCCCCCCGGGACTCCCCTCCGAGCACCCGCAGCCCCCGACCAGCTGCTGCCAAAGCCGTTTCTGACTTTGACTCGCGGCCTCACGCTCCCTCGAGGCCTCGCCCCTCCCTTCCCCCAGCCCCCCCCACCCCCCCCCCCCCCCCCCCCCGCTCCGGTCGGCAGGAGGCTCGGGCGGATAACAAACACCGTTCTTGGTAATGAGCGCCCGCGCCATCACCCTCTTTGCCCAGTCTCCTGGAACGCCCTGCTGTGCGTCTTCTGGCTCTGGCTCCACAGCTCCCGGCCCCCGAAGGAGCTCCAGGGGGACGCGGCCCAGAAAGCAGGAGCCAGGCTGGTGGGGGGGGCGGGCACTGTGCCCCAGTTTGACCTGGACAGTGAGGCAGCGTTGCCTTCCAGGTCTCCTGGAGGCAGCCCCGAGGCGCGGATGCAGCCAGCGCACCCCGGAGGGGACCCCGGGCACCCCGGGGACTGGCACGTGGAAGGGGAGAGGCCACGAAGGCCCAGGACCCCGGGGAGGGTCACGGGGAACACGCCGGACGGGGCCTGCCTGAGGTTTGCCTCCCTGGGGACAGGGCGCGGGGGTCTACGTCCTGGCCCCCACCCCTCCCGGGACGAGCGTGGCCCCTGGAGACGTGGAATTCCGAACCTAGAGGCGGAGCTGGGTGTCCTGACGGTGGGCGCGCGGGGAGCACGGGCCCGGGACACCCCGACTTCCACCACTCTCCTCCCAGTGCCCACGGTGTGTCTCCGATTTCAGGGTTTTTTTTTTCTATTCTGACGGATAAATAAAATTGTACAGTTGCTCTACGATGCACTTAGCCGGCTTAATTGACTCTGAAGGCCATTCCACACGGGGACCGTTGGAATCCATCCGAGGAATCGGTGCGCCCTCTCCGAGAGCAGACTGTGTCTAACGCTGACGGAGAGGTGCCATTGCCGGAAAGCTGAACCGCCGGGGGCCACGGCGGCCGCCGAGCCGGGAAAGTGGAGAAGCGGGGGGAACATCCATCCCGGGGAAGAGCGGTGAGACTCGAACGGTGAGACTCGAACGGTGACGGAGAGCAGGCGTCCAGCTTCTCACAGATCGGCGCTGGCGGAGGAGCTCTCGGGGCCTGCACGCACGTCGCTGCCGGGAGGGGCCCGGCACGAAACGCCGCCTCCGGCAACAAGCCGGCTGCCGGGGGACAGCCGTGGGCCGCAGGGAGCGGCCCAGCACTGACAAGGAGGGTCGCACGTCGGTGGGACCCCCGGAGTGTCAGCCAGAAGGGCCAAACTGGGGGATACACTGACTAAATGCAGTTGCAGGGCTTTTGAACTGACCATGTATGCCCTCCCCAAAACGTTTTCCAGAAACATTGTATCCACACCTTAAAAAATGCTGGAGAGGGAAAGGGGATACAAGCTTATGAATTAGGTTAAGCCTTATGAAATTGACTATTGTGTATTGAAAAAATTATTGTTCAGCCACATGTAACGATAGTTTAATATTTGTTACGCTACAAGATAAAAATGTTCATTCTGGACTTTTTTTAAAAACTCTGTTATTAAAAAACAAAGACTGGAAGAAAATGAACCCAGTTGATACAATGACTGTCTCTTAGGGCAGCATTTCAGGGGATTTTTTCTTATTTATACTCTTAATATTTTGCAAGTTCTCCATAATAAGCATGCAGCACTTTCGTGCATAATTGTGTGAGCAGTGGTCACATGTGTCTTGTGAGACTTCGAGCAGTTGCCATGGGAACGTGAGGCGGATGAGCTTCCCAAGGGGCAGAGTCACCGTGCGGAGCAGATGCGGTGGGCGCCCGGGGCCTGCGTCACCCGCCCCTCACGTCCCTCAGGTCCAGGGCCACCTGTCCCGCCGTCTGTCGCCTGCACGTGAGGACCGCAGAGCCCTCCCAGCACGTGTCCTGCCCACGTGTCGGGGCAGCCCCAGAGAGGGGACGCGGCTCACCCCTCACTCCCCAGGGGGGGCCCTCTGGCTGCTTGGGGGAAGGTGCCACCCGCCCATTAGCCGCAGGGCCCCAGCAAGGAGCCTCTGCTCCCTTTGCCCCCGCTTTCTGTGACCCCACAACCTCAGGATGGGCTGCCCCTCCTAGCGCCGGTGGAGCCCGGGGGGCCCGGCCAGGCCAGGTGTGCCACACTGGAAGCCAAACTCCAGGGTCTCGCCTCCGCAGCCGGCCACAGGGCCAGCGAGTCCCCTAGGGGCTGCCCGCTGCCGGGACACAGGCCAAGGGTCCCCACGGAGGGGGTGCTGGGGGGACCGGCCGAGTCCCCGAGTGAAGAGCTAGGGTTCTCGGGAGGTCTTTCTGTTCCCGGGCCCCGGGCAAGTCAGACGCACTCCCGGGGGGTGCTTTGCAGGAGGAGGAAGTTCGCAGCGAAGCGTCTGTGGTGCATGTACCTGACCGGCAGGGCCAGACTCACACAGCCCGCCAGTCAGCCAGCCGAGCTGGCCCCTCTGCAGACCGAAGTTTACAGGAGAGCCGTGGCGTGGGTTGCACAGTAAAACAAAAACAGAACAAGCCCCCCCGCGCAGCCCGCAGATGTGCCGCCGGACCGCAACGCCGGGGCCCCTCCTGCAGCCCCGGTGCCCCCGGCATGCGCCGCTCGGGCGCCGCGCCCTCCGAAACGGCTGGACACCCGCAGCACCCAGCCTCCTCGCTCTGTAGCCGCAAGAAGTTCCAAGCTGAGGCCGTAAAAAACCCTGTTAATCTCCCAGTTCATTAAAAAAGTGACCTTTCCGTGCCTCGTTTCTAAGCAGCTAGAAGTCTGGCCGGCTCCACCGCCACCTGCCGTGGGCGGGAGATGCCCATCCAGTCGCTGGCACACCTCATGGAGCCGGGGGGTCGGGGTGGCCGGCGGCCCTGCTCTGTGCCGCCGGCCCCTAGTCCAGGCTGGTCTTCGCGCTCTGTGAGCGGTGCAGGTGGGCTTCTCCTGAGACCCCCCACGGCCTCTCGCCCCTGGCGGAACGCGGCCCACGGCGGGCTGCACGCTCCCAGGCGCCTGGCCGATGCTCGCGGGTAAGGCGGGATGGGAAGGGACGTCAGGACCTGCGGTTCCACCGGTGCCCGGGTGGCACCGTGGGACACGGGGGCTGTGGGCTGGGGCAGCCGGGGCCCGGGCGGCAGGCAGAGGCAGGGGGCCTGGCAGGGGAGCGGCCCCGGGCCGGGAAAGCCAGGAGGGGCAGAGCAGGGCGGCCACACGGTGGTGGCCAGTGGGGACACTGTGTTCGTGTGAACCTCCCAGACCACAGGGCCAGTCTGAGGGCCACAGGACACGCAGCCCCACTGGGCGGCAGGGAGGGCGTCTAAACGGGTCTCGTGGGCTGACACCCTCCGGGACGTCCAGAGAAAGGGCGTCCAGGGCTCAGCAGGGCGTGGCGGGGTGACAGGAGCCCCCTGGCACACCAGCCCCTCCCCGGCTCTTTTCGCCCTGGCTGGCAGTCCGCTCCCCGGGGGTCGGTGGGTTCTCCGCCGTCGAAGGGGGCGAGGCTGCGTGTTGTGGGGACAGAGCTGGGGCCCAGCAGAGGGGGGCACAGGGAGAGGCGGGTGGGGCTCGGCTGCCCCTTCCCACCTGCCCCCCCTCCCTGCCTGCCCCCTGCATCCGCACGCCACGCTGCAGGACGGGCTGGACCGGGTCCTCGCTGCGGCCCGAGAACTGACGTGAGGGCCGGGGGCGGGAGGGGCCACCACAGCACTCTCTAACATGAGAGTTTGACTTAATAGACACGTCTGGTTCCAAAGCCCTGTCTCTGAAAGGAAAAGTGGCCGCCGTCCATCGGGAACTCTGCCTGTGTGTGCTCCCTGCGTCCCCTACTGTCCCCTGCCGTGCACTTCCGCGTGACCCGGCGCCCGAGCTGACTTAGGGGAGCACGCTGACCCGGGGCTTCCAGGGCCCAGGTCCGCCCTCCCTCCCGGGACCAGCAGCCGAGCGACCAGCGCCGCGCCTGCCCCTTCTGGGTGCGTGAGGATCGCAGGTGCGTGGACCGTGGAGGCCACAGGGGAAGCTCCGGCTCTGGGGTCAGGGACCGGGGCAAACCCGCTTCTGACCCACCACAGCCAGGGCCTCTCGGCTGCCCTGCGCCCCCAGGGCCCCGCCCCGTGCAGGGGCGGTGCACTCAGACCCCCGCTCTGGGGGCGCACTCCTCCTGGTGGCCCGCACCCCAGTTCCCGCGGCACCTGCCGGGGTGCTGAGGGCGGGAGCTTGCTTCCGGGCGCCCAGGGCACTGAGCCGCGGGCCCATCCCCACCACCACCACCGCACACGGGGCCCCGTGGCTGCCTCCGCCTTCGGTCTCGCTCTGTGAGGAGGTCCAACTGGGCCAGTCTATCACTTCTGCTCCTTTTACACCCAAAAGCCAAAGCAGGAGATAAAAGTCACTGGAAAGAGATTCGATTATAAAATGTTTTTTCCCCCATTAAGCTCCAAGTGAGATTGAGCAGTCGATTGCAGTTAAGGATCTTAGAAACCAAAACTAGTCGGAGTAACCCAGAGATGGGAGACCCTACTCTGTGAGTGAGGAAACCACAGGGAGGTCCCACTGTGGGGGGAGGGGAGGCGGCTGGAACCTGGCCGGGCGCCCCAGGGGTCTCAGCCCAGGCAGGTCCTGATCCCCGCCCCCCCCCGGCTCTGCCACCGCCCCACGCCTCCACACCCTCTCCCGCGGGACGAGAGGCGGGGGCTCCCCTCCCCCTTCCTCCGGCACCTGAACTCCATGAGGCCTGATCCCGGGAACTCACCGAGGCCACAAGGCGTGTCTGGGCTGTGGGGACAGCCACTCGGTTGCCCCCCCGCCCCCCCCCCCCCCGCAGAGCCCCGCGGCGCCCGGACCCTCACCCCTCTCTCCAGGAGCATGTCTCGGAAGTGCGTCACCCGCTCCTCCAGCGGCGGGAGGATCTGCGGCGGCGGCGGCGTCCTGGGGCCCCGGTCCTTCCTCTCCGCGTCCTCTGGCCCGGGACTCGTGTGACCTTCCGTCCTTGGGGGCACAAGACACACAGAGTCACACACGCACCCCTGGGGACCCCACGGCCTTTCGCAGCAGCCGTCAAACCCCGCTGGGCGACCGACTCCTCACGCGGCGAAGACTGCGGTTCTCTGGAAACTCGACCCCAGCGCGGCCGACCCAGCAGAGGGGCGGCGGCTTCTGCGGGCGGGGGGCTGACGCCGAAGCCCCAGCCGGGGCGGGGGGGGGCGGGGGGCCCCCAGGGGGAGTGGGGCGGGGGAGGCCCCCCCGGGAAGGAAGCCGAGCGTCTCCGTTTCGCTGCCCTGACGCCGCCGTCACCCAAGGCGCCGGGGCGAGCCTTTCGCTGGCACGGACCGCCAGCGTGCACCCCCGACCCCGCTGTTTCGGGGGCAGCCCCGTTTGGTGCGAGAGTGTGGGGACGCTCAGGGGGACAGGACCCCAGCGCCGGGCAGGGTAGGGAGAGCGCCGTCCTGAGTTCTGACCCGAAGTGTGGATTTCAGTGACAACAGGGACGCCGGCCGCGACCCCAGGGCTCGGACGGTCCAAGTCCCTCCCGGACCCTCACGGCCGGGCTGTCTGACGCCCGTCTAGCGCGGTGCTGCCACCAGGGGGCGACGTGGCTCCCGGGGACGTTCGGTCGTGTCCGGAGACACCTGCGGTGGTCGCAGCTGGGGAGGGGCCACCAGCAGCACGCAGGAGCAGAGGCCGGGGTGCTGCCGAACCTGGGACACATGGGACGCCCCCTCGTGTGGGACACGGGGCTGAGGGGCCACCGGGGACTCTCCGGGCTCGGGCGAGGTGGGTGTGGCCGCCGCTGTGTTTGGGCAGGCGGGATGGGACCGCTCAGGGCCACGTGGTCACTCAGACGCCATCAGGGCCAGGGGCGTCCCCTGCCTCCTGCCACCCACGAGGACGTGGCCTGTCCGTCATGGTCTGTGCAGGGCACCGTGGAAACCCACTGGGCCGGGCTGGGCACCTGCCGAGAACACGGGTTCCGTGGGGACCGGCAGCCCTGGCCCCCCAGGGTCTCCCCGCGCACCGGGCCGAGACGTCACACCGGGCTGAGACGCGGGTCAGTCCAGCCCACGACCGCTCGGCCCGCCGGGGAGTCTCGTTTGCGCGCCGACGAGTCGGAGCCGGAGGACTCGGTTCTTCGCCGCTGACGCGCTTCTGCGGAAGTTTGGGAGAAGAAACCCCCCGTGGACCTTCTGTGTGTGTCCCAAAGAGCACAGTTAGGGTTTCTTTGCGATAAATCTTCATCCGTTAAACACAGAAACGCGGGGACCAGACGCGCGTGGTGTAACTGGAAGGAGGCGAACAGGAACGCCCCCACGGGCCCACGGCGGCGGCGGCGGCGTGTTGGCGCTCACGGAACACGGCATTTTGTCCCGAGGCCCCGGGCGCCTTCCGGGCGGTGGCGGGGCGGTCCGTGCGGCGAGAGGCGGCCAGCAGCCAGCGCGACCCCGCTGACCATGTTGCTCACATCCCCCGGTGGGAGGGCTCCGGCGCCGTCAACGAAAAGCCGGTGCGAACACCCCCCATGGAGCCCAGGCGGCCCGAGGGTGGGAGGCAGCACCCCCCCCATCACGCTGTCTGGGCACCCACGTCTCACCGACCTCTCGGGGAGGGGGACGGTCTCCCGGCTCGGCAGAGCCTGCGCAGGCGGGTGCGCCACCGTGGGGGACGTCCCAGCTGCCAGTGCGGGTGGGAAGGGGCTTCGTCCCGTCCAGCCTTCCCCACCCTCGTGGGGCCCCCAAGCCTGGGGCCGCGGGCCGGGGTCCCTTCACCCCGCCCCCCGCGCCCCCTGCCTCTGCCCCCACCGTGCACGGCAGCGAGTTCCAACCCTTGTGCCCTCACAGCACACGCACTGGTCGAGAAACCTCTGCGGCACACCGGAAACACGCCATGTGCGGTGCCGACCTGACCAAACAACAGGTGTGGTCTTCATCCGTCCACACTGGACGGCGATGGTCGTGTTGGCTGCGGTCGCCGTTTCTTCATCTGACACCGGAGGGAAGAGAGGCCGGCGCCCCTGGCTCCGCAGTCGTGGGGGTCCGAGGCCAGCAGGTGACGCCGCCCTCCAGGAAGGGGCGGGGCCTGGAGTCCGGGCGCAAGCGCGTGTCTGGTGTTTAGTCAACCACGCGGGTGCACCCACCTAACTGGCACCCTGGTAATAGCTCTGCACAAGGAGGCTGGGGAGCTTCCTGGCTGGCGAGCATGTTGGGGTACCAGGAGACGGGCACCCCAGCTCCATGGAGACAGAGGCTCCTGCCCCTCCCGGCCCCCCGCCTGGGCGCCCCGCCCTTGGCTGTTCCCGTGTTGCCCCCTTTACGACAGCCCTGGGACTGCCGGTGTGGCACTCGCTGAGCTCTGGGGGCACCCAGTGAGTCAGGGAAATGAAAGGGGGGCCACCCCGAGCACAAGTGCAGGTGGGCTGGTGTCTGAGGGGGGGCGGGCTTGTGGGACGGAGCCCTGACCCCCGGGGTGCGCGACGCTGCCTCCAGGTGGTCAGCGTGAGAACTGAGGGGGCCGTGGGCAGCACAGCCAAGAGCCAGCCCGAGGCCGGGACTGCGGTGGCCGGCCGAGCGTGGGTGCAGGTGTCCCTGTGCCCCCCACGAGGCCGCGGCCGTGGGCCGGGTCAGGCCGCGGCCGGCTCGCGGGTCGACTCCAGCTCAGTTTTCCTTCCACCCGGCGTATCGCAGGCAATTTCCTCCCTAATGCGTTTTATGCCTGATTTCGTTCCGGCATTTACTCTGCGTGACACACTTTCGCTGAACGCCCAAATAATTCCATTCTCCGAAATGAATCCCAAGTTCCCAGCACACAGCACATCGGGGAAGCGGGTCTGAACTCCGCACGGACACGCGGGCCGAGACAGGCCGCACCTCGGGCGCCGCACGGAGGGGGAGACAGCGGCTCCCCCTGCCCCGTCAGCAGTCCCGGGCACGTGGGGCGTCTGCGTCCCGTGCGGGACCCGGCAAACAGCAGACAGCGAGCTGCTGGCACGGCGCTACTGGGCGGCTGACAGTGCTTCAGGCGTGTGGTGGCCCGTCGTCGCGGTGACATGCAGGAAGGTCTCACAGGGGCCCGGGTGGTTTGCACGACTGGCCTCGTTCTGTCTGTGCGAGAATGCCCCCGGTGGGTGGGAGTTGGGGGGGGGACTGGGGGTCGAGGGGCACAGGCGGCACCCCCACAGGCCTTGTTGCCATGGCGCCCGTTTCTCAGATGGCCACGGCTAGTCACATCGGGAGCCTCTGCCGTCTCATTGGGCAGATGAAACCCTGAGGTCAGCGTGGATTTGGCCCAAAATCACAAGGCAAGCGAGACAGGGCTGGGGCGTCCACCAAGAGCTGCCCGACCCCAAACCCACCCCTCGCCCAGGGCGGGCACCTCCTGGACCTGGGGGCCCCGTCTGCTCCCACGGGGCTCCGGAAGCCAGGGCCGCGGAGACACACCTGCCAACCCGCTGGGACTCGGGCGCCCGGAGTCACCGCAGAGACAGACCCCGAGGCCTCCCCCGTCCAGTGAGCCCCGAACCCTGCTTTGTCAGCCAGCAGGGGCTGGAGGACCCTTCTCTCTGCACTCCGCCGAGGGTCCCGCCGAGGACAGGCGGAAGGGGAGGGCGCAGGCACCTACCGGTTCCTCTTGGTTCTCACGGTCGGGTCTTCGCTGCCGTCCTCAGAACCGGAGCCATCGCTGTGGTCGCTGGGGTCGGCTGAAAGAAAGCCGGGTTAGCGCGGGGGCTCGGCCACCCACGGCCGCTGTGGCCAGGCTCCGGGGACCTCCCCGCGGACTCACCGGGGAGCCCAGGACACAGCTGTCCCTTCAACACCTGCCTCGAACCTGCAGCTGAGCCTTCTCCTGGCTCACTGCCTTGCACTGCAGCCCAGGGAGAGCTGGTGCTCCCCAGGGCACGGGGCCGCCCCAGCCGCTGCCCCCCATGAGGCAGCGAGTCCCCCACGGGGGCCGGAGGACGGAGACCTGAGGGGGGCACCCGCCCCATCGCGCCTCGGGACACGGGCCCTGGCTGCGCCCCTCCGAGGGACCCCCAAACCCGGGCCCCCCCTCCGTCCACCCCGCCGCAGAATCAGATTCCTCCCGCGGGCTGCACGCCCCGAGCTGCCGTCTCCGTGTCTACTTCAAAGCGCCAAACAGATAGTGAAGACCGCGCCCCGCCCCCACCCCGAAGAGGCAGCTCTGTGAATGTCTGAGGAGCTCTGGGGCTGAAGGAGTGAGAAGGCGCCTCGGTGTTCCCCGTCCTCGTCTCCCGGGGGGGGGGGGAGGGGAGGGAGGGGGGCGGTGCTACATGGGCCCTGCCCAGCCGGACGGTCTCCGAACGTGTCCCAGCCTCTCGGCGGCCCTCACCCCATGTCCCCAGGGTCGTGTCCCCGCGCAGGCGCAGGGGCAGGGGGCTCGGCACCCGCTCCCCTCTTCCTGGGGAGGCTCTGCCCCGGGAGCGCGGCCGTGACAAAGGTGGGGCTCGGGGAAACGGGGGCGTCAGGCCCAGACTTCGCCCTTTACGAGCCTGCCGACGCCGGCCTCCTGCACCCCCCGCCCGCCCCACCCCCCGAAGCCCCGTGCGCGCAGCTCCCTCTGCGTTTCCTGGCGTCCACGGCCTTTGCACCCGAGTCCTTCGTGTTCGCGCCGTGGGTTCTGGCTTCGGTCGAAGGTCGCCCGTGGGAGGGAAATGGGAAGAATGAGAGACATGCAACACCCCAGGGAGCACCGGGGCTCCTTTGGGTGCAGAAGGCCCAGTGCTCCCCAAGACCAGGGCTCTCCTGGGAGGTCAGGGGGGTCAGGCGGGGCTCCCTGGCCCGGGCGAGAGCCTCTCGTGGCGCTGGGCCGGCAGTGCCAGAGGGTAGGCATGGAGTCTGTGGTCACGGGGGCGCTGGACTGACGGTGCCGTCCGTCACTGTCACCGCAGGGGTCCTGAGCCCCCTGAGTCCTTGTGTTCACGGGCGCTGGCCCAGGCTCGTCCCCTCCCAGCTCAGCCACAGGGGCCAGGCCCCTCCTCAGGGTGCGCCGCAGCCAGCAGTCGGGCCCCTCTGCCCCACCCTGCACTGCCCACCCACCTCTGCTCCCCGAGGGGCCCACGTCCAGTCTGGCTTGTCGCCAGAGTTAACTTCCAGGCCAGTCGCCCCTTCCTCCTTCGCTCCCTCCCTGGGCCAGGAGGGCGGTGGCTGTGCCAGGCCTTTGTTCTGCTCCAGCTTCCCGGGCCCTGAAGGCTCAGAGAGGCGACCCCGCCCCTCTGCCCCGTGCTGTCCTGTCAGCGCTCACTCGGGGACGGATCTAGAGACCGGCGAGGCTCTGCCCCGTGAGTCCTGGCTGACGCAGCACCCCTCCCCCAGGTGGTGAGCACTCCAGGGCATCGGGAAGACCCCGCAGAGCCCACCCACTGCCTTCACGCTCCCCACTTGCTGCCTGGACTGAGTGGGCCTGCTGCCCCTTGGGGGGGTCAGTGCAGACTCTCTGGCGGGGGGCGGGGGGGCCGACTCTCTCACCCGCCTTCTCTGGGGTCACGCCACAGAGACCGGCCAGTGTGGGTGCTGACAGGGAGCTGAGGACGCAAGTCGCCGGGTTCCCTTGCTGTGCAAACCGGCCGCTGAGGCCGGGCGGCTGGGGGGGCCTCTCTCCAACCCTGTTGGCTCTCGGGCCGGCCACTGTGGGGAGCGCGCCCAGCACGTCCGTCCTCCGTGGCCCCCGACCTTGCTGAGCGCGGCCCCTGGCCCCGCCCCAGGTGGAGACCCGTGTGCTCTGTCCCCGGCGAACACAGCGCAGAAAAGCCGCCCTGCCACGGCCACGGCTGCGTGGACCGGTGGGGACCACGTCGGTCCTGCTGGGTGGGGGGGGGGGGGCATGTCGCTGTCACAAGCATTTGTCTTGGGCACAAAAGACTGAGACGTTTGCAGGGCCGGGGAGGCCGGGGAGGCCGGGGCCGCCTCCGTTGGGGAGGGGGCTGGCGACGAGTCCGTGTGAAGGGACCTGGCGGCCGCCCCCGCCCGTCCCCGCCTCAGGCCTGGGGACCCAAGCGCTATCCGGAAGCTTGTCGGGATCACTCGCTCCGGGCGCCGGGCCGGCTGCCCCCATGGAACGTGGGCTCAGGCCCCCCAGGGTGCCAGTCCGTCGTCCCGCACGTGACGCAGGGGGACCCTGGTCCAGGCAGTGAGCCTCCTCTCTTGAACCCCCACCCGCGCGCAGGTGTCCAGGCAGGAGCACACATGCTTGTGTGCACACACACATGCTCGTGTGCACACACATGCTCGTGTGCACATGCATGCAGACACGTGCCCACGGCTGTGCCCACGCACAAACCCAAACCTAACAGCAGCCGAGTGTGGCGTTATTTTGTAGAGTTAATTTATTTTGCTTCCTTTGAAAATGACAGAGTGTCGGCCGAACGCTTGCTGGTTCCGTCCCAGACCAGAGACAGGCGTGACTGCGTTCAGACCCACCCTGGCTGACAAAACAGAGAAATCCCCACTGGTCGCAATCTCCCCTAGAGCTGGCTGGCGCTCACGCTCATTAGGGTCAAATCATTCCCCGGGTCCCAAGGGTGGCCGGCCAGGAGAAAGTGCCACGGGCTGGAGGTCGTCAGCGCTGCCGGTAAGCGCTAATTATCCCCGGAAACACCTCAGGCCCCCGCTGTTCTGCACAACCCAAACCAGTCGAGTGGATCTCGGGACCTTAGAAGTTAGCCTTTAAATAGCAACTCTCCCTGCGACAGGGAAGTGGAGAATCGAGGCCATTAGCATACCTTTCAGATTCAGGTTTTAAAAGGACTGGTTTAAGAAAACCTCTCCTGAGAGAGAAGGCCAGGTTGAAGCCCCGGTCACCGTGTGCCCTGCACACTGTCACCACCCGCGTGTCTCCGGCTGGAGCACGGGCGCCGGCACAGGTGGGCGGGAGACAGAAGCACCACGACGACCAACTCCAAATGCCCTGGGCGTCCCCGGGGTGTCTGAGAGGCTCGGGGCTCCACTCCCCCACTCTGTCGGCACAAAATGAGACTTGGGGGTCGCAGAGGGTCACGGAGCATGGACCCGGGTGACTCAGGTCCCCGTCGCTGCATCAGTTAACCGAGGAGGCCATCAGATGGGGGAGGGGCTCAACCCAGGGCTCCTTCCAGACGCCCACGGGCGTCTCAGCCCGGGTCTGCCTGGGGCTGAGGAAACCGACCAGAATACCCAGAGCGACAGTCACAGCCAGCCAGCGGCTTCGGAGCACAGCCGGCCACCGACCCCCTTCCTTCGGTCAGCACCTGGACGGCCGGGGTCTTCCCTGCGGGCGGGGCACCCCGACCACCTCCAGTGTGGCGCTCCCGGATGAGGGCCGCTTTGCTGAAGTCAGCTCTTGAAATTTGTAATATGCCTCCTTCATCTTTGACCCCTGCCCGCCGCCCAGGGTCCCCCCAGGCCGCAAACCGGCAGGTGACTCGTGGGGAGCCTGCAGGGGCGGCCCCGTGTCCCTGGGGCCCGGCCGGTTTGCTCCAAGGGGGAGAAAAAGGACAGCAAGTGTGGGCATGGGCTGCGAGGCGCTACGGTCCTCCTCACGCCGACCCGGCTGCAGGGAGGTGGACAAACAGGGCAGCACCCAGTCGCCTGCAGGACGCAGGCTGAGCAAGGGGCCCCCCTCCCGCCAGGCAGGCAGCCTGTCGCCCGGCGCACCTGCCCTTTCCCGTGGGCTGCGTGGTCCCCGAAGCCCCCCCCCCCCCGTGCAGGGTCTCTGCCCTGGAGCACGGACCTCGGAGACGGTGTCCTACCAGGGTCAAGCCCTCGTCCGGCACGCAGACGTCCCTCTTAGACAGGGATGGACGCCGGCCAGCTGAAGGAGGAAGCGGCCCCAGCTTCTCCCGCCCGAGCGCTAATCGGGCCGGACCCGCTCGGCTTCCGAGACTGGACGAGATCGGGTGCGTTCCGGGTGGCATGGAAGGAGCCTCACAATCCCAGTTCTATCGTCCCTGCACTCGGCTGAGGGGGAGCAGAGGCTGTCACCCCAAACTAGCCTCTTTCAGATTTGGAGTATTTGGAGCTGGTAATTTTAATGAAACAAGTGACTCACAAAGAACCTTTGACCCTCAGTTGCCGAAAAGCCTGTGGCCAGAGGACCTTGCGGAGGCCAGCTTCACCATGTCCGCGGCGGTCAGCATGGACTGAGGGCCAAGGGCGGACAGAGAGGCCCCACTAGGCCCCAGACTCACCACCAAACGCCAGCTTGTCCACCCCCTGCGAGCGGCCCTGCGGCCCAGGAGGCACCACACCGCAGCCCCTCCCTCCTTAGCTCCGAGCAGCAGGCGGGCCCCCGAGCCTGGCCGTGCTCAGGCCCAGGGTTCTCAGGACCCCGGCGCGTGCACCCTGGGCGCCTGCCTCGGGCTCGTTTGACAGGTCGCCCAGCGAGAACCCGGCGAGGCAGGAGAGGCACCTCCTCTCCCCACGGAGCCGGGAGGGCCCAGCCCGTTGACCACGCACCCGGAGTGCCTCTCCTCTCCCAGCCTCGGCTGACCCCGGCCCTCGGGGGGGCCCCCACGCTCGTCACCTCACGTGACGGAAACACGCGGAACCGCCAGCTTCCCACCTCAGCGCAGGAGCCGCGGCCTCAAAGAGCGGCCTTCTCCCCGTCCCTCAGAGCCGTGATCGGGTCAGGAAAGAGTCGAGAACGCCCCCGCCCCTCGCCCCTTGCCCAGCATGCGCTCCCCCTGAATTCCTGGATCCCGTCGGACGCGCGAGGGACGGTTTCGGGCACGGTGGGGCGGGGGGGGAGACGCTGCCTGTGCCCACGTCTGGCCTCCCGCGTGGGCTTTGGAAGACGGGGGAAACGGGAGCTGCTGGCCCACGGGGGCAGGCGCTGGGGGGGACACCCTGGCATGGCTGAGGGCATGGAAGGCTTTCTTGGAGCTAAAAGCTGCACCGAGAAAAGACAGCCAGCGCCGGCCCTTGGGGACGAGGGATCTCTCTGCGGAGAGCGCCACGGACCTGAGCTACTAAATTCTGCAACAGCAAACGCGACCTCTGAGACGCCAGCCTCCCCCCCCGCCCGGCCACCCACCGCCGGGAAGACCCTGCTCCCGGGCGCGCCATCTGGGCACGGGCCCGGGCCGGCTACCTGCTGCGGCGTCCCGCTTGCGCTTGTGCGGCGGGTCCCTGAGGATCCTGTTGAGGTCGCCGCGGTGTCGCAGGTCCAGGGGCCTCTCCCACACGGACAGCTGCATCGTCGGGTTGAAGAAGAAGACCCGGTCGTCGCCCGTCCAGACCACGCACCTGTGCCGAGGCAGACACGCACCTCAGCCACACTCAGGCCTGCGGCCGGGTGCCGCTGGCCTGCAGGTCCCACCTGGGTCTGTCCGGGGCCCCGGGGCCCAAAGACACGGGACCCCCTCCCGCTGCCGAGGGAACCCGCCACCCCGACGTCCGGGGTCCTCCCTGCCGCCGGCCCGTTCCCTGCAGAGCCGGAGGCACCGAGACACCAGAAACCACGCGCTCCACGAGGTCCCCGGACGGCGAGGCCACCCACGTCCTTCACCGGGGGGCACCCTCGTTTTCTCGCCGCGTCCCTGGGCCATTTTCCCGCCGGTTCGAGGCAGCGCAGGGGACGTTCACCGAACCCTGGAAAGAGGCTCCCCATTGGGGGACAGGTGTACGGGGCCCTGATCTGTCCTGACGCTGGGTCGTCTGTGGTACGTCTGCCTTGTCGGGGACACGCCACTTCTGGGCCCCGGCGCTGGGCCCAGAGACGCCCCCACGACACCCTGCACAGGGACGGGCCGGCGCCGGGAGCCCCCAGGGGCGGGAAAGAGTCTGGGCCCCCTCCCGTCCTCACCGCCCAGCCCCTGAAGCCAGGGGGGGTGCGGCTCATTGGGGGCTTTATGGGGGGGCTCCCGGGGGACAGTGGAGAGACAACGACCAACGTGGCTCATCCCCCACTGGACAGGGGGCGCCCAGTGTCCACGCCGCAGGGACTCGCGCACCTGAGCCAGACTGTGGGGGGCAGAGCAGACGCACGCGGGACCCCCGCAGAGAAGCCCACCCGTCCACTTGCTCCGTCCGCTGGGGCTTCGGCTGGACACGGGCAACGTTGATTCTGCGTGTCGCTTCACGCCCGTCGGAAGGAATGCCCCTGCGTTCCCCTCCCTCGGCCCCACCATGTGCCTCCCGGACGGCGGCGGCCCTTCCTCCGTCCGTCCCCACCCCCGGGCCAGGCTCCTGCGTCTGAGCCACTTCAGTCCGGCACAGGGCGTCCGCAGGCAGCGGCCCCAGTCGGTGATGTCTGCGTTTTCCCAGACGAACGCCGGCCTCGCCGCTTCCTCCCACGAGAGGACACGCCCACGAGAGGACACGTGCAGCTGCCGCCTCCAACGGTGGGGCCAGCGGGTGGGGGTGGGGTCCTGCTTCTCCCCGAGCTTCAGTCTCACCCCTGCAGAGAGGGGGGCAGCGTGCCCCACCCGCCCCACAAAGACGCCCTCTGTGCTTCTCCCGGGCGCCCGGTCCCAGGAGCAGGGCCCCCTGGACGACAGGACCCAGTGTTCCCCGGGCCCCACCCCTGGGCTGAAGTCTCGGGCCTGAGGGGCAGCTGCTCCCTTCCCTCCTGGCCTCGCTGCGCCCACACCTGTCTCCAGGGAGGGGAGGGGCCGGCCCGGCAGGTGCAGCAGCCCCGGGCTGGCCTTCCTAATGAGACTGTGATCGGAAGGGAAGCCCCTTCCTGGTTCTGGGGGTCACTGCGGCGAGCTATGGAACCCGAGGAGGGTAGTGGGGACCCCAGACTTGCAGTCAGCCAGGTCGGGGTGGGGGGGCAGGCAGCCCGAGGGCCCGTGGGTGGCTGGGTCTGAACAGCTATCCCAATGGATCAGGGGTGACCAGCCCCCTTGGCCTGCAGAGTCTGTTGGGGGCCGTGTCGGGATCGAATGGGCTGTAGGGCGCTCATCAGCCCTGCCACGGTGTAGGTGTAAGGAGGCCCTCCCGGGGGGTGGTCCCGGGGTGCAGAGCGGTTCTGGGGGCGGATGGAGGGCGGGGGCTGCCGACGCTCCGGACCACGGACCCAGCAGGGAAGGGGCGGTGCCCGCCGCCGCCGCAGACAAGGAGCGGGTCGTCGGACAGGGCCGCGGGGAAGGACGGACGCCCTGCCTGCTCCTCCAGCGTCGCGGGTCCCCGGCCACCTCGGGGCTGCGGGCTGACCGCACCTCCCGCACCTGCCCCAGCTCCTCCCAGCCACATCCTGGTCCCACAACCACCTCTCCCTGCAATAACCTTTCCATCCGGCGTCCGCAGAAGGACGTTTTGCGACACTGAAGATGGGACCCGAGCACAGCGGGTGATTGGAGGGTGGCATTCTCGGAGGCAAGGCGGCCGGAGAGAGTGGGGTGCCGTCGGTGGTCACAGCCACCGGCCCCTCGTCCTGCTGCAGAGGGCCCCCTGCGGCTTGAGGCCCACCGCGATGTCACAGACCCTGGGTCTGATGCGCAGGCACCAATGTTACTCCTTTAATGAACACTCGCAAATGCGCCGCGGCAGAATCTCGTCCCCTAGACGCCCCCCCGCCCCGCGGACAGGGACGAGGCGCAGAGCCGGGCCTGCCGTGGGCTGCAGCTTGGTCTCGAGTCCCAGCCTCACCTAAGGAGCAGGCATTTCCCCGCGGTGACAAGACAAGGCCATTTCTCACCGCCCCCAGGGTCCAGGGCCTCTTACCAGGGGGAGCCGGGCACCGGGGCGGAGGCCACCGGTCTGCTGCCGCGGGCCGCGCCGTCCTGTCCCGCCACCAGGATCGCCGGAGCCTCCTTTCGACAGAGAGAGAAGGAGAGAGCCTTTATCCCTGCATTGGCACGCTGGTCTTCGTCACAGGCAGCAGAGCGGAAAGGAACAGGCCTCCCGGGACAGACCCGCCCGCGGGCGCCAGGGGACCTGGCCCGCTCAGCGCAGCAAAGCAGAGGGTCCGGCGGGGTCGCGGAGAACGTGAGGTCGGCGGTGCCACAGACCATGGGGTGTGGGGGATGGAGCTCCCGCAAAGGTGTCCCCTAACGACCCCGGACGAGCTAAACCCGGCCCGGACACGGCCTGGGGCCTTAGCGCCCTGGGCACAGGCAGGCCCACGGGCTCTGTCTCCGGAGACAGGCTGGCCCCGGGCTGGAGTCACCACCGTGCCACCAAACACGGCTTCAGTGACGCGGAACCCCAAAGCCTCGAGGGGTCCTGCGTGGGGCTGGGGCTGGCCCGTCCCGGTCCCTCGAAGGCAGGAGGGAGTGACAAGCCCAGGTCCTCGCGGAGCCTGGGTGCACCGGGGACCGCCCCTCCGCCCTGGAGCAGCTCGCTGGGGGCAGAGTTAGTTCAAGGGGCGTGGCAGCCGGCAGGGAATTCTGGGTGCGGCTGGGTTCGGAAACACCGTGTGTCTTCATCTCCGTTTAGGAAATGAAGGGTGGTTGAGCACCCACAGAGAACGGAGGTTCGTTCCCTCAAACTAAAAAGGAAGACAAGAAAGGCCCCCGTGTGTCTACGAGAGCCAAAGGGGAGGTGACCCCCAACAGGTAAACCGGTGGTCTGCGCAGACCGTGGACAGCGGGGGAGGGGGGTGTGGCCTGGAGACACCGTCCCCCCAGCCGAGGACCGAGAGGGCTCCTGCCATCGGCACCGGACGGCCGGGAGGTGGGGCGAGAACCCCTGCGAGGAAAACATTCCCCTGGGGACGTGCCCGCGTGGCCGTGGGGTCGGGCCCGCCGGGCTGGGCGTCTGCGAACCCCAGAAACGAGCGGTCGGTTCACACCTGGGCCGCCGCGGGCTGGGGTCTCCCCATGGCCCTCCATGCACTGTGGCGGGAAGCCGCACCGGGCAAAGGGTCTGCAGTGTGGACGAACACCCCAAGTCCGCGGGTTTCTAAGGGCAAGCTGTTCTAGAAGTTCCGGGCAGTGGAAGCTGTCTCTGCTTCCCGTGGTAAAGCAAGGTCCAGAGGAACAGAGAACAGGACGGGGAGCACCCGGAAAGGCCGGGGTTGAACCCACATCGAGACCGGCGTCGGCATTACAAATCCGGTTAGAAAAACGAGGGGCGTTTTCATCACGGGGCTAATGAACAGTAGCGGCCCCAGGAGGGGCCCCGGACCATGGGTGACCCCGCTGGTTACTCGAGGAGATGTGGGGGGGCTGTGACCTGTGACGGGACAGGCCCTGCGAGCTGGCGACCTGGGCTTCTGAGCCGCCGGTCACGGAGGCCTCTCCCCGAGGCCTCGCGGGCAGGAGGCGGCTTCCCGCTGGTGAAGCGAAGGCTAATGGGGCACCAGCTCCCCTTGCGCCTGCGGCGGGAGAACTGAGTGGGACATGCAGAGACCGGTGACAGGGAACGTGGCTGCGTCCCCGCCACGGAGACCGCGGAGTGACAGACCCGGCCTGGTCTCTCCCGGACGGACCCTCCGTCCGGGAACCCCCTGGACGCGCATGGACACGCAGGGTCAGCCTGCACCGCGCCCTCGACGCGAGATGCAGCGGACGCCCGCGGCGCTGCCGGGAGCATCACGGATGGGGACCCAGCCCGAAACCGTGGGGACGGGGATGCCACGGGGCAGAGACCGGCCGACCGCGGCGAAGGGAGAGGGGACGTCGGCTCGGGCCAGAGGCCTCCGCCCGCGTGACCGATCCCACGTGCTGAGTGCACGCGCGGTGGGCGTTTGCGGCGCCGGCTGGCGCTCGGGCAAACGTCAGGAGGCCCCGGACTAGAACGTACTGAACTCGGAAAACCGACGTTTTCTTCAAAAGTCAACACCAGGCACCGAGCACAGCGTCTGCCCGCAGTCCGGCCACTCTGCGGGCACGGGCTGAAATGTGGGGACAAGGATATGGTGGCCCGGGTGACCCCGAGGTGGTCCGAGCAGAGCACCGCCCGGTGAGCTGTGGGCCCCGGGCCCCGGCGGGAAGGCTGGCTGCCCTGTCCACGCTCTGTGACGCTTCCCTCTCCCCCGGGCGTCCCCTGCGGCCTCTGGCTGGACCGTCTCACCCAGGGACAGCCAGGCGTAGTGCCGCCCACAAGCCACCTGGGAAAGCCGGCGGGAGGGATGCACCCCGGGACCCCCACCCCGGGCCCCGAGTCCCGAACCCCAAACCAACCTTGTGTCCTTCGCCCCGGGCCGGGCTCTTCCTGTCCGCGGGCAGCAGCAGGCCAGGAGGGCAGGGCGTGCGGGCCCCGGCCCTGCCTCTCTCTGCGGGACCAGAACAGAAGCTGTTAGCGCCCACCGGTCACGGCGGTCTGGAACACCAAGGGAGGGCGCAAGCTCAGTCAGTGCGCCAACGCCATGGGCACCTGGGGGGGACGGCACCGTCACGCAGCCTGGAGGGAGGACTCACGACCGGCACCCCCCCCCCACCAGCTCCTCGGGGCCTGCTCGGGCCCGTCTACACGCTGCCAGCCACAGCACGCCACCGGGGGCCCGGCCGTCTCGCCCCCGGTGGGCGTCTGTGCCGGGGGGCTGGGGCCACACAGCGGTGCCAAGGGGACAGTTCTGGACTCGGGCCACGCGTCCAGTTGCCACGGAGGCGCTGCATCTGGACAGACAGAAGCGGGCAGAGCCATGGGGCCCCTCCGGCTGCCAGGTGGAGAGACGGGCAGAGGGTGCTGTGCCCACAGGGAGGCGGGCCGTCCACCCGCTGTCCCTGGAGACCCTGCGGGCTCCCCTGTAGCCCTCTGGCCGGGCCGGCTGCTCGGGAGGCCCTGAGCTCGGGCCGGGGCCACACAGGCCGCTTCTCCACACAGAGGCAGCCCCGGCCACCGAGCTCCGGGGCAGCTGCGGCCGCCTCTGGGAGCCCCACCTCGGGGCCTGGCTGTGCCCATCCCAGCTCTGCCTCGGCGAAGGGGCCGTCCACACGGCGTGGGGCTGCGCAAGCGAGCCCGACTCGGGGACCCGCCCTCGGCTCGGCAGTCACTCGTGCTGCTGGGCAGGGCCTGCAGGAGTTGCCCCCAGAGCCCACCGCTTGTCGAGGCGTCGAGGTCGGGGGCACCTGCCACCCACCGGCTCTCTGCAGGCCCCCTGCGGGGCCAGGCCGTCCCCTCCCCGATTCCCGGGTCTGCAGGACGGAGGCGGCAGGCCCCTCTGCCTCCAGCGGAGAAGGAGCAGTGCCTAGGCGGGCAGGGGCAGGAACCCCGCCGTGTGCTGAGACCCCGGCCGAATGCCGCAGGCATGGAGGCACTGCCGGGAAACGGGGCAAGCAGACCCCCGACCCAGGGGCCTCAGGAGAGTGGGCTCCGTCGGAACTCACAGGACCCCTCCCGCAGGGCCCCTCCCGCAGGTGGGGACCCCCCCTCGGGGACAGATGCCCCGCCCCGCGGCGTCCACGTCCAGGCCGCTCTGGCCTCGCTTCCTCCGCACCTGCCCCCTCGACTTCCGTGCTCAGGAGGCCGCGTGACCGGTGGACACCGGGTGACCCGGCCGCCCGGCCGCCCTCAGCCCCGGTGTCTTCTCCCCCTGTCAGTCACACAGGCCGTGAAGCAGTGGGGGGAGGGGCCAAATCAGACCAACAACAGGCTGTCCAGGTCCCCCGCCCCCGCCCCCTCCTCTGGATGGGCTGGGGTCAGGAGAGCTGTGTCGTGGCCTGAGCTGGGCCCGGGGCCTGGCCACCTGCCACCCACGCCCGAGACGGGGGCACGGCTTGCTCAGGCGCCTGGAGAAGCGTCTGGGGCCCGGCTCTTGGGCACCCGCGGCTGCGGGAACCGGGTGGGGAGGCCCAAGCGGGTCAGGCGGGCCGGGTGGGGCCGTGGAGGGTGGGCGTCTGAGGCCGCCAGTGCGGCTGTTGTGAGAAAGAGGGGGGCACCCGCAGGGTGGGCAGTCAGGGGGACCAGGCCCAGATGGAGGCCGGCTGAGACTCGCAGGCGCCGCAGGAGGGGGGGTGGGGGGGTGACGGGGGCACAGGTTGTCGGCCAGCCCCGCAGAGGAAACCTCTGCTGAGTGAAGCACAGGGCGTCTTCAAACATCCAAAAAGCTGCTTTTTAAAAGTTATTACACGCCCTGGCTGGTGTGGCTCAGTGGGCTGAGCGCGGGCTGTGAACTGAAGGGTGGCCAGTTGATTCCCAGGCAGGGCACGTGCCGGGGTTGGGGGCCAGGTCCCCAGTGGGGGCCACATGAAAGGCAGCCACAGACGGATGTTTCTCTCCTTCCCCTCTATAAATAAATAAAGCTTGTTTAAAAATATTAAAATAAAGAACTTACACAGACAAGCCAAAACAGTCTAACGTGTCAAAAAGGCAGCAGACATGTGTCAGCATCTCCTCGCTCACAGAGTAATTCTGAAACTCAGGCTGTTTTTAATTCACTAAAGATCGTGGTCCTTGGTCCCAGTCTCCTCATCTGTGAAATAACCTCCTAAGTGTCTTCCCAACGACTCCGGACCCCAGCAGTCCGCAGGACCCCGGGCGCCGTCGGGGGTCTGCCCTGGAGAAACACGCAGCGGAAAGAGGGAAGGGGCCAGGGCGGCTGGTGAGAAGGTCTCCTCCCGGCTCCCTGCGGGGGCCCGGGCGCATTGCCGGGACGGGAACAGCCCCACGGAGCCGGCAGGAGAGAGGCTGGGCCCTTTCCGTTCTGAGACGCCAGTCGTGACCCCTGACGGGCTGTTCCTGGGCACCAGCCTGCTCTGAAGATCTTTCATCAGGGGGCACATCGCCTCCTAGCCTGAGAGGACCCCCGACCCCGAGACATCCGCACCTCACGACCCTGCAGGTGCCAGGAGGGGGGAGGGGACAGTGGCGGGACTCGCTCCCGGTGGTTGCAGCCCATGGCTGCTGTGGGAAGGGTCTACAGAGAAGACCCCCGCAGCGACCCCGTGTGCGCACTGGCCTCGGCCCGCAGCCAACGGGAGGGGCCGCAGGGACAAGCTCCGCGGACCCGTCATGCCTGGGGAGCCGTGGCCTGGAGCGGATGGCTCTCCCCAGCGTCCGTCAGCCGCCACCCGGGGGCCCCGTTTCTGGACCGGGGCGCCCTCACTCCCAGAGCAGCCCCCACGCTGTCCGCTTCCGGGAGCGGCCGAAGGAGAGTGACGGACGACGGCATTTGTGCGCCCAGCCTCCCCCCCAGCCCCACCGTGGACCCAGTCCTGCGCCGCTCCGGCCGGCAGGGGCCGCCGGCTCACGGAGCGCGCAGAAAAATAGGCTCGTTGAGCTGTTCTCCAGGTCACACGGCGAACCGCCGGGGAGGGCTCCAACTACTTGTCAGTTTAAGCAGCACTGGGCTCCTCTGAAAAATTTCATAATAAGGGCAAAATGCAATTTATGTTTAAGATAATAAAATCGACACGCTCAGGTGCACCGGACGCGGCTATGAATGAGGCCGGCGGACGCGTCGGTCTGCAGGGCCGCCTCCCCGGCGAGGGCCGGAGCTCGGACTCAGGGGACCCTGGGGGTCGGGGGCTGGGGTGGGTGGGTGTGGGGGAGGCCTGGCTGCCGCCGAGGGAGGGCGCCTGGAGCAGGGAGGAAGCCCCTTCCTTCCCCTCAGGCCTGCCCACCAGGGGGGCCGAGCCCAGGGCATGGGCAGCGCCCCGTCCTTGTGACTCCGTCGCTGCCGGGTCCTGCGGCCGAGCAGTTCTCAGGACAGAGCGGGACCCAGCGGCCACCCTGGGCCCTCGCCCCGCATCCCCCCACCCTGCCTAGGGGAGGGTCCCCAGCCCACGCTGCAGGGAAGCGGGCCCCCCGGCGTGACGGGGCGCAGAGGTGGCAAAGCCTTGAGCGACCTCACCGGGACACGAGCAGCTGCGGGCAGTGCCCACCCTGTCACTCGCCGGTTGTGGGAGCGTCCCCCGGAGAGGCACCCTGGGCCTCCCGCAGCCACCCCTGGTCCCACCGCAGGGAGGCAGCTGCCAGCAGGTCCGGAGGCCCCGGCGACCTCCGTCCTTCCCGGGGGCGGGGAGCTGCAGCCGCTGCCGTCTGCCCCGACGGGGCTGCGCTGGGGGCGATGTCGCCGGACTCGCCCACTCCCCGCCAGGCCCTGGACCGCAGGGCCACCGCGGCCCCCACCCGCCGCCCAGCCCACGGAGGCCACCGCCCCCCCCCCGCGGCACCCCCCCCACCCGGGCCCCCTCCCTGTCGGAACCGCCGTCCCCGCCCGCTGGCTCGGGTTCCCACCTCGGGTTCCCGCCGCAGGGCGGACGGCGCGGCGCGAGCCTCAGCGGCTGAGACCAGCTCGGGCCTGTTTGGAAGCAGCTTCCTTCCGTTCTTCTCCTCCTTCGCCAAAGGGGCGGCCTCCGTCCTTCCATACAAACGGCTTTAATTAGCCGCAGGCGAACTCGGCCTCTCACTGGCGCGGGCCGGGAGGCGGCGTGCGGAGCGGGCGGCGGGGCTCGCTCAGGGCTCGACCTCTGACCTCGGCCGGCGAGCCGCCGGGCCTGGCGCCGGGACGCCGCCTGTCACCCACCGGCACACGCATGCATTTCTGTGACGAGGTCGGGCTCTCCTGCGGCACGAAGGGGAGGGGGGGCCGGTGGGTCTGACTTGTGTTTCTCCGTCTCCGGCTTGGAACACAGCAGAGGTTTTCCGAGGAATGTGCATTTTTCATGACCATTTCTTTTGAAAGGTATTAAAAATTAAAGACAGTCCAGCCCACTCTTGCCACAGAGCGTCTGGGAAAAGGAGACCCTTCGTTCCGGAGGAAAGACGCAGACGGAGGCTCTCGCCCGAGACTGTCCGTCCCCCGGTTCTGCGGGGCCGGCCGCCACTCGGGTCAGCGTGTCGTCAGCCGGAGTCAGAACGTCTGGGCCGCAAGCCGCGCCTCCGCTGCGCCTCGACCTCGGACCCTCCGTGCCCGTCGGTGGCCCCCCCGCCGCACCCCGCAGACGGAGCCGAACCCGTCCTCCGCCATCCGCACCTCGTTCTCCGGGAATCCTCCGGGCCGGCCCCTCCCCAGACCCGCTCTGCTGGAGCACCGTCCGCACCGAGCGAGGCCCGCCCTGAGCTGGGAGGCCCCTCCACCCGCCCGAGGCACCCCCCCCCGACTCCACACTGAGCGGAGGGGCCTCCCGGCCCCGGGCTCCACGCCGTCTGTGTGTCCACACTGCGCAGGCCGCCCTCACGGTTCCGGCGGACGCAACCCCCTTCTTGGAGGGTGAACTCCCGGGAGGCAGGGGCGCTGCCGGCGGCACGCTGTCCGCCGAGTACGCACCCAGCGCTGGTGCCCCGCCAGGGCCGGCGAGCCCCTCAGCCGAAGCCGCTGCCCCACCCGAG